TTGATCCGGTTCTTTTGTGAGCCCATGTTATAGAGTTCCATAAGTAACGCCGGCTATTTGCTTTCCTTCTGGCAAAAACTGCAGAAAATTTTGTTGCTTGAGCAATTGGTGCAGAAAATATTTTTGTAAAACGGCAACCGTGACCAAAATACATACATATATTCTATAGATAACTCTTGTCTTTCTCTAAATGCATTGGAACATATCCAAATTGTCAGTATAAAAATATCCATCGTCAGGTCCGATGTAGCCGGTCGTCGTCGTCGACCAACTGCAGCTCTCGTGTAGCCCATGTGCAGTGACTATCTCTAATCTCTCTCTATCCCACTCTCGGTGTCCCTCCCGTTCCCACTCTCTCCCTTCTTTGTTCGCTTAGGTGCCCCATCATGAACAGATCGTTACCAGGTAGCCGAATCCATTCGAAACGCTCGTAAATAATGGCACATGAATGAGTACTTCCTGAATTACGGCACACAGCATTATGTAAGATCGGCAAGATCTGTCAGAGATATGACAGATATAAGATATCTGTGAGTCGAAAGACGATTCCTTTACAATTATGTTAAGTTCATGCGCCGTTAAGTAACAGCATCGGAAGCATCGGAAAAGCCATCCTAAAGTCCACTTGCAACTGTCAATCACTAATGCTTCCATCAGCTGTTTTGCCGTTTTGCACTAGTTTGGCATTGAACCAGCTCTATATGATTTATGACTACATCAATTATGCTCAAAATATGTATTGGAAAAAAAAAGAAAAACAAAACTACTCTATCATCATCTTGACATCATTTTAAACAGCAGAACAATAAAATACAAACGGATAAAATAACTATCAACTTTATAAAACAAAAAATTGAATACAAGTAACATTATTTATAAAAATAATTTTTAATAATATAATAATATATTATGCATATTTGATTTTTATTTGTTATTACTTTTTTAGAATTGATCTTAGCATTGATATACTTATTAAATATATACATGGGAAAAATGATTTTAAAAATATTTATTCATTTTATAATCTTATTCTTATTATTCTGTTCTTATTATTATTATTATATATATTTTATCGGAATTGATCTTTTATCTTAAAGTACATTTTTTAAGATTCTTTAGGATTAATTGCATTTTATTTATTTAATACATTTTTAATAATAATAAGTTCACAAAGTTTTCTAAATAAATTTTTGATAATATATTGTTTTATTTATTTTTTATTTTTTCAAAAATGTGTATAAAATATTCATATTTCAATGCCTTAGCATTGATATATTTATTAAATCTTTATATGGGAAAAATGCTTAAAAAAGA